ATTTGTCCTAAGACAACTGGACTACTGCTCCACTGGATAAGAAAAACTGGAATTTCCAGGTGATGGGAGTTCAAGCAGAATTCCAGTATGTGCTTCTTCACAGTAAGAGCAGAGAACAGAGAGTAAGAAAAAAGGTGCAAGAGGCATTGGGTAAGCAGCTATTAAGAAAATCAGCAGATCTGACTATAGAATAACCAGGCCCCTTTCACAAACACACAAAGGGATGGGCCTGCTGGCCCCGTTCACTAAGTGTGGATGGCCCCTACAGTGGAATCTGTGGAAGGCTTGGATTGCCTTGGCATTAACTGACCCATCATTCCCAACCCATAAATTAGCCTAGTCCCAGACTGGAAATCCCTACCCTGCTGCTACCCAAAGACCATAATACCCAGTGATAGCTCATTATAATCATTATAAAGCAGCAAGTTAAAGATTACCCAGCAGAGCTAATGCGTAGCTTCAGAAATTAGAAGAAAATTTTCACATAACTAAATAATACCAGGAATGGAGACCTTTGATATCAACTTGGAGTTTCTGAAAGAAAACAGGAAGAAATGAAGGAGGGAGGGTAGTAATAGGGAAAGGGATAAACACACACTTCGGTTCCCTTAGATGACATCAGCAGTTTAATTATGCCTCCCCTGCCTAAATGAAGAGTTCCTGAAAAGGAGGCATTTTGTTTTCTTTATAGCTCTAGTGCCCAGTATAATACAGGCACATTGCTGGAACTGAATGAATGAAATTATCAGATGTCTTAGCCATCACGGACATCCACACAAGACTACCATACAAGATGGACCCAGAGACACATCTTGCAGGATTTTCTTCTGAAACTCTAGGCCACATCAGGTCACCCCTGAACCTGTACACCAGCCAACTACTGAGTAGTAACCTTCAGGAAGAGCACTAGACAATCCCATCCTGGGATGCTACAGTTCTAAGAAGCTGCAGTTTGAGGTCAATCCCACATTTGGCTCTTGCTCCCCATTCCCCAAGAAGTTTCCACTTGGTTCATCAGAGGCTCCACTGCAGGAGGAGGAGGAGGCTCCTTGAGCTTGCTCCAAGCCTGGGATGAATTACAGCAGGCAGGGATCACTTTCATCGCCATAGGCTGTGTCAAAGATAGTGACCAAGTTTCACCATGAAAGCAAGCCAGATAGTCATGGAGGGTATTTCTCAATCTCAGACTGTTAGCCAAGGAATATCTGTGGGTATGTCAACACATTATTTTTCATGGAAAAAAAAAAAAACACAACAGGACAAAACTGGTTTACAGGACTAGTTATCTAAGCCTAAAGCTTCAACCCTCAGGATGAAGCTCCACCCCAAGCTGGAAGGTAATGAGGTTCCAAGGCTCATCCCCAAAGAGGAGAGACAGAGTCCTTTCCCAAGCCTCAAAGTACACTCTGTCCTGAACAGCCTGCTTGTGTCCACATGTGTGCATATGAGGGAGGAGGAAAAGTCCTGGGAGAGAAACACCTGAGAGCTGAGAGCCCAGCAAAGACCAGCAAGTGCTAGGGTACAAACCCTGGCAGAGGCTCAGTGACAGCCCCCATAAAAACCAGGGAAACTGGCTCACGGGCAAGTGTTCCTCAGCTGTCCTGGCTACCTGTAGCTGCTGTCTGCTCGTCCAAGTGCCCACCTCTAGATCACAGTCGTCTCTTTTGAACAAATGAAGAGGATCTCTCCAAAGCACACGTGGGCAAGAGCAGCCCCCTTGAGGGGATTGTACCAACCGTCCCAGGCCCCAGCTGAGCCTCCAGGCCAGCCCTGCCACCCCTCACTAGTTCAGCCTTAAGTACTGCCCACCTCTCCCCATCACCCTACTCATCTCCAGACTGGCAGTGCCACAGGTGGTCAAGTCCCATTGAGCTGCTGCCAAATCTGAGCAGAGACAAACATGCCAGAAGAAACCCAAGGCCACTATTCCTCTCATCTCAGGCAAACACCCAGGTGGCCAGAAAAGAGGGCCTCGCTACAGGGTCATGAGTAGATGCTGCACGGACCCCCTGAGGACCTGAGAAACGGTCAGGAAAGGAAGATAGCATAGCACCTGCAGACCTAAACTTGCTGGGAGAATTCCCTGGAGAAAGCTATAGGAATCCTCAGAAAAGGCCCACCTCCCTGACTGCATCACTCACTCCTGTAAGCCTCACATTAGCCCACGGCAGGGTGCCCGGTAGTGGGGGAAGAGGTACTATGGCTCCAAACACTACAGCCTGCCCCAAGTCACACAAATCCAAGTGTATCTAAAGACTATTCTAAGGCCCTGACAGATCCAACAGTGACTTATCAGCAATCCAATCCAGTGCCTTACGTCCTCCAGGAAAGGGCTTGCTCATAATTCACACCTGTCAGCCGAGAGGAATCTCAGCATCTGGCTTAGACCCCTGGACACCAGAAAGTAAAGCCAAGTCGGGGAAAGGAACTGCAAGTAGTGAAAAGGCCACAACTCTAAACCCCAGGGATGCTTTCTCCCTCCAACCTCAAAACCACTCGCAAGGGCTTTGGCCAACACCTGCCCATGAGCAGATGGGCTCAACTCCCCCCACCCACACACTTCCAAGGAGACTTTCAGCTTTCTCAAGGCCCCATAGCCAGGAACCTCCATTCTGAAAACCGTACCTAACCATTCAAACCTACGGGCCCTATTAAAATGAAGAAAAGCGCTCTCGGCCCTCATTTCTGGGGTTGCCTCAGCAGCACCGTAAATGTCATGGTCCCTTGCACGTCACACAAAGGCAGCCAAGCTAGAGAAGGTACTCTCTCCTTGTCCTCTAAAACATTCTCTCTTAGGAAGTCCTTTCAAGCAGCCAGTTCTAGTCCATTCAGAAACACCAGTAACTGGTGACAAGCTGATCACTAGCAACACCATTACAAAACAAACCTAAGCTGAGCTATGGTCATCACCCCGTTCTTACACTTCTGAGAGAAGATGTGACACTCAAATACCAATCTAATCAACCTTGCAGCACTTTTCTTTAATTTGCTAATTATTTTTTCTTTCTGTGCAATATCCAGGCAACAACTAAAAACAAAAGCAAAAAAAAACTGGCCTTTCTGTGGCCTGGAGATTCAGTCTCTCTCCCCCTTCACTCTGCTGTTCAAAGTCATCTCCATGGGAGTCTGAAAAAATGGAAGTTTAATTTAAAGGTCCTAAGCAAATATTATTACTATATTATTATTAGTCACAGTATATTGAGTGCCTGTTTTTTTTTTTTTTGTTTTTCGAGACAGAGTCTTGCTTTGTCGCCCAGGCTGGAGTGCACTGGTGCGATCCTCACTCACTGCAACCCTTGCCTCCCTGGTTCAGACGATTCTCCTGTCTTGGCCTCCCAAGTAGCTGGGACTACAGGCATGCGCCACCACACCTGGCTATTTTTTTTGTATTTTTGTAGAGATGGGGTTTCACCATGTTGTCCAGGCTGGTCTCAAACTCCTAACCTCAAGTGATCCACCCGCCTCGGCCTCCCAAAGCGCTGGAATTACAGGGGTGAGCCACCGAGCCTGGCCTGAGTGCCCATATTTAATGTTCACGATCTCATTTAGTCTTAAAAATAAGCCTGTAAGGTAATCATCAACAACCACATTTTAAACGTGAGGAAGAGACTCTGAGAAACTCAATAACATGCCTGAAGTCAGACACTTAGCAGCAAGGCAGAGACTATTTCATTTTATAGGACTAGTCTGCTTCCCAAAATAATCATCAAATGCAAAGGAATTTAATTTTCTGCTTAAAAAAAACAAGCCCCCCCCACCCATTACCACAGTTCATGTCTGACCAATTCCAAGATGACCTTCCCAAACTTGATATGAACACATTGACGCAATTACCGGAGAAACTGAGCAAGAGTATGTAGTAGCCAGGGCTCTGTGGGAAAAGGACACAAGTCCTGTTGGCAGGATATCATCCTGCCTGCCAGGGCCCCTCATTCACAACATTTCTCTAAAACCTGGCATTAGAAATTAGAGGGCACCTGTCTGGTAACCCTCGAAGCAACCTGTGGTTGCCTTGGGCCTGTGAGCCTTCAACCACAGATCAAAGAGAAGTCCAGACTAGGCTCAGCCTCCTGCTATGTGGAATGCAAACCCACCTACTCAAGCTCTCTGCCTATGCTGAAACAAAGGCTAGAGGCCAGAGTTCAGATCATCCGGGCAAAATAATTGAGACTGGCTACTACAGGAAATACCAGAAATGGGCAACGTGTGTCCACTGGTTATATTTTAGCCCTCTAGCCCTCAGAGTACACAAGCCCTCTGTCCCTGGAAGGGATCCCTGTTCACTTAGATTTTGGATACCTGTACCGGGAGGAGGCTAGGGGGAAGGGCCCTCAGTCACGATCCACACAGAGGAAGAAATGAACACACAGTGATAATTTACTGAGGGCTTACCCTCATTAATTAAGCTCTTATTTATATTGTTCACATAATCTTCCAATAGTAACCCTTGAAAGGGTTACTATTTATTATCCCAGAAGAGAAACCTCAGGTTCAGAGAGAAGTCACCTGGCCCAAATGATCAGGAGAAAAAGCCACTCTCAGGAGAGTGGCTCTATGGCAAGACACGTGAACCGAGAGGTCAGTCTCCTTCCCCACTGGGAGCCTCACGTCAGTCCCCAAAAGGGAGTGGATTACTCGAGGTCTCTATCAGAGTTCTCAGTGCAAGGCTGTTCCAAGCCCTAACCCGACCCAAACTCCAAAACTTCCTGAGCTCGGCCAGAGCCGAGAAGCCTCCAAGGCCTTCTCTGGCTCTGGGGCCAGAGGAGCCTCGGAACTTCCCAGTGCGGTCCCAGCCCCAAGCCTCCAACATGACCCCCAAGAGATCCACCTCCCAACCCTTCTCTCCCCAGTCCCAAGCCTCTATGTGGGATTTAAGACTCTGATCCAGAATAGGGAGGCCGGCTGTCGTAGAAGGGGGCATGAGGAAATGTCTAGGGGACCCTGTCGGGGAAATCCCGGGTAGTCCCAATCCTCGAATTGGCGCCGACCCGAGTCCTTACCGAGCAGCGGGGACTCCTCAGGGCAGGCGGGCAGCGGCAGCGCCAGCGCCGTGGTGCGGGGCACTGGGACCGAGGTCAAGTTGTTCGCGGGGCCAGGGCCAGAATCCGCGACAGGGCTGGAGTCGCCACCCGGGCGCGGTTGGGAGGAGGCGCCTAGAGGAGGCGGCGGCCGGACCCCTCTGGCCCGAAGCTCCCCGGAGGGCTGCCCGATGGCGGCGGCACCGTTTGAGCCGCCCTGCAGCGGTGTGGAGACTCCGACCAGCTGGGGCAGGCGTCTCAGGTCGCGGCCAGCCAGGTAGTAAACGAGGGTGACGCCAAGATGCAGCGCGCAGACAGCCACGAGCAGGCGGCAGGCCCGCTGCAGGGACGCGCCGGGCATCGCGGCGCTGCCGCCCAGGAGCGGCTCCCGAAACCTCATCTTCCCGCCGCCGCTTTAAGAGGGGTGTGGGCTACAGGAGGGGAGGCGACCCGCCTGCGGGCCGCCCGCCAGGCGCTGCCCCACCACGGCGACTGGGGGAAGGGCCGGAGGGGGCGCGGGCCAGCGCGGCGCCAGGGGGCGGGCGGCTGAGCATAGAGACTCCGGACCGCCAGACCTGGGAGAGGCGAGAGGGCGCCTCAGGCGCAGGCGGGGAGGGGCGGGGCCCCGGCAGAGGCGGAGGCGGGGCCGGGCGCAAGGTTTTTGGGTTGGGAGCGGGAAGGCGGGGCCGCCCGTGGCGGGACGGGCTCGCGGGGCGGGGCCTCGGGAGGGTGGGCGGTGGGCGGGGCGGCCTCGCGGGGGCCCGGGATCTGACTAGGGCTCCTACGCCCGGCCGTGCACCGCCCTCTTCCTCCAGAGCCTTCGTGGCAGAGCTTCGGTCGCGTTGAGCCGCGCCTCCTCTTCCTCCTCCACGCTGCACTCGAGAGGCCGCGCCACTTCCTGGGGTGCGAAGGGACTGGGGTGCGGGCCTGGGCCTGCAGCGCGGCGGCGGAGAGAGCGGAGAGGACAGCGGGCGGGTGGTGGTCTGGGTGGTTGGGGCCGCGGCGGCGTTCCGGCCAATGGGCCTGGGGGGCTAAGAAGAGGGGCAGAAAAAGGTTACCGGGGAAACGCGCTTAGACGTCGGGGGGTGGCGCGTTAGAAACCACCCCCCCTTACTCAGCCCGGCGGGGCCCCGCTGCTTAACTGGGGGCCCTGGGGCAAAGTGGACAGGTTGCCTCTTCTCTGCCTCCCCATCGGGTAGCCTGGGCTATAGGGAGTCTCAAACCAGACCAGCTAGGTTCCAGGTGTGTGTGTGGTGAGAGTCCGGTATGCTTTGAAGAGGAGAGCGACAAGAAGCCTCTTAACTCCCAGGCCAGCGTGCAGGAGAGCAGCTGGTTTTACAATCTACACTGGGCTACACACGGTCCCATGAAGTAGGTGTTCTCTCCATGGCATAGATAGAGTGGGGCCCTGGAAGATTAAGAAACTTGCCCAGGAGGCTGGGCGCGGTGGCTCACGCCTGTAATCCCAGCCCTTTGGGAGGTCGAGGTGGGCGGATCATGAGATCAGGAGTTCGAGACCAGCCTGGACAGCATGGTGAACTCTTGTCTCTACTAAAAATAAAATTAGCCGGGCGTGGTGGTGTGTGCCTGTAGTCCTAGCTACTCAGGAGGCTGAGGCAGGAGTATCGCTTGAACACGACAGGCGGAGGTTGCATTGAGCCGAGATCATGCCACTGCACTCCGGCCTGGGTGACAGAGCGAGACTCCGTCTCAAAAAAAAAAAAAAAGGAAAAGAAACTTGTTCAAGAGCCCACAGCTGGCAAAAGGCAGGATTCTGGCTCCAAAACCCATATTTTCCACAGGTTTACCCTTTGTTGATAAGGGCAGAAGGCTGTGTGGGTAAGAGACTTAGGCACTGAAACCGGTTGTCCTCAATTTGACCCAGAAGCCTCAGACCCTGAGTGAGCAGAGACCCCTCACCCCAGAGAACAACTTGAGGAAGTGCTGTTAGTAATGTGGACAGGGAAGTTGAGGGCTCTGGCAGCCAACCAGCAGGAAATAACAGTAGCTACCTTATTTTGAGAGTTTACTATATGCCAGTACTATCTGCCATGAAGTAGGTGGTGGTACAATCTCCATTTCACAGATGAGAAAATGAAGGCTTGTGAGCTGACACTTGGTTGTGATCATACAAAATCAACTTTCCTCACTTGACTTCCTGGACACCAGGTCCTTCTGATCTTCCTCACTTCACCGGCCATCTGTGTCTCCTCTCTGGACTTCTTCCCCAGCTGTTGAAGGCACTGCCCATAGTCCATGATGTTCTTTTGTGTCTATACTCACTCCCTAGGAGTCATTTATAACATACATATACTGATCACCAAAATTTCTGTCTCTAGCCCAGATCTCTTCCCTGACCTCCAGACTCAATTGCTTATTTTAGTGGCATCTCAAATACAATACATCTTGCCCCCAGCAACCTACTCCTTACACTCCACACCCATTCTTAACTCACTCAGGGAGTGATACCATTGTTCATTCAGCTCCCCAGAATCTAAAAGGTGTCCTTGATGTGCCTCTCTTACTCTCAAATGACATTTGCAAGTCCTCAGAGAGCCTTGTCAGTGCTACCTTCAAAATATCAAAATTCATCACTGGCCAACTCTGATGTAATCATCCTGGATCAAGCCACCATTATCTTGCCCTGGGTTATATGGCAGCCACTAATTGGTCACCCTGCTTCCACTCCTTCATTCCTCCTCCCCAGTCTGTTCTCCACAGACCATCCAGGAAATCTTTGTAAGCATAAATCAGATCATGCCATTTTATTCAGAACCAAATCCACAGAAGCTCTGTCCAATCTGGTTCCTATCTCCCACTCACATCTTTTACTCTATCATGCTGGACCTGCCTTAGCCACACTATCCTGATTGCTATTCCTTGAACTTGCCGTATTTCTTCCTGCCTCAGGGCCTTTGTACTTGCTATTCCCTTAGCCTGAAACACTTGTCCCCAATATTTCATTCAATTCAGGTCTCTTAAATGTCACCTTATGACAGAGACCTTCTCAGACTACCTTATGCAGAATGGCCTCCTGCCTGAATCTGCTTAACCTACTTGATTTTTTTGAGTGGGTATCAATTACTCAACATCACACATTTATTTTCTGTTGTCTTGCCTCTCTCATTAGAAGATCAGCTTCATGAGGGCAGGAAATTTTTCTCTTGTTCACTACTGTATCTTCAGCCCCTAGAACTGAGCCTGGCACATAGTTAACATTGAATAGATATTTGTTAAAATACTTTTTTTTTTTTTTGAGACGGAGTTTCACTTTTGTTACCCAGGCTGGAGTGCAATGGCGCGATCTTGGCTCACCGCAACCTCCGCCTCCTGGGTTCAGGCAATTCTCCTGCCTCAGCCTCCTGAGTAGCTGGGATTACAGGCATGTGCCACCATGCCCAGCTAAATTTTTGTATTTTTAGTAGAGACTGGGTTTCACCATGTTGACCAGGATGGTCTCGATCTCTTGACCTCGTGATCCACCCGTCTCGGCCTCCCAAAGTGCTGGGATTACAGGCGTGAGCCACCTCACCCGGCTAAAATACTTTTTAAATACATGATCATCTTGATGATGTGGGAAAGGGAGAAGGGAAAAGTTATTGCTTAGTTTAGAACACAAAGTGGATTTGTTCTCCAAGGAATTGGTAATGGTAAAGCTGACCCCAGCAGCCTGTGTCTAGGGGTAAAGTCAGCCTGGCCCATGACCGACAGTGGCGTCAGATTAGTCCCACAACTGAAAATTAAGGGGAGGGGGAAATGATGATGTGTCCTCTGTTGGTAGAGATTATGGCCAGGAGATCGGACTCTCCCAGGATACTCTGGCCAGAAATTGAGGAAAAGGAACAACACTTGTCCATTGTCTATCCCTCAGGAACTTGCAGAGTCCACTGAGGCCTGAGCACTAGTCTTTGCAGACGCTGGTCCACAAGCACCTAGAATTAGTAAATTACAAAAGATACAGACAGCCCAGAAACCTTTGGGACAATATTGTCCAACAGTCCAGATATGAACTAGTGCTAGTGAAAGACCCAGGCAACCTTTCTCCCCACTGTCTCCAACTCTTTTCCACTCTAAACTTCGTCACGTGAAAAATGAATCCCATCTGTTGAGACAAATGGAGAAGGAAGTTGCAGTGGTGATTGGCCAAAAGCTGGCATGGGGGCTTGGCCGTTGGCCCATCCAGTGCTCTTCTGCCCAGAATCACCAGCTCCCTGTTTCTCCCTGCAGCTGGCCTTCCTCTGCCCTTCTATGGCGCCCTCTTCTGCACCTGTTAGGTTACATTTCTGTTTTTACCCTCATGGATCAGAAGGGCATTAAATAGCACTTGGCGCATGGTAGACAGTTATTCCAGTCATCTATTGCAGCATAACACCTACCCCAAAACTTAGTGTTTTAAAACAACAGTTTCTCGTAGTCTTGCAGTTGGCTACGCTGCTTTGCCTCACATGGTGTCAGCTGAGGCACTGGCACAGTTGGAAGTTCCAAAATGGCTTCACTCACATGAATGGCAGTTGGTGCTGGCTGGGGGCTGGAAACTCAGAATGGGTTGCGGTCAGGGGCCTTCATTCTCCACTTAGACCTCTCCATAAAGGACTCTCCACATGGCTGCTTGGGTTTCCTCACAATCTAGAGGAAGCATTCTAAAAAGGAGCATTTCAAAAACACAGAAGATGCAGATCCCTTAAAGTTCATCCTTAGCATTACTTCTAGGGCATTTTTTTGCTTAAAACAAGTTTATAGGGCAGTCCAGATTCAAGGGGAGTAAAACTGGCTCTGCCTCTTGAGTTGTTGGTTTTTTCTTAGACAGGATCTCCCTTTGTCACCCAGCCTGTAGTGCAGTTGCGTAATCATAGCTCGCCGCAACCTCAAAGTCCTGGGCTCAAGTGATTGTCCCGCCTTAGCTGAGTAGCTGGGACTACTGGCATACACCTCCACATTCAGCTAATTTTTAAATTTTTAGTAGAGATGAGATGTTGCGATATTGTTCAGGCTAGTCTCAAACTCCTGAGCTCATGCAGTCATCCTGTTTTGGCCTCCCAGAGTGCTGAGATTACAAGCCTGAGCCTTTTGCCTGGCTGACTCCACCTCTTGATGGAAGGAGGAGCAAAGAATTGTCACGCATCTTTAATCCACAGCAGTTTGCCCAACGGCCACAAATTATTTAGATTCTTCCCACAGGTAACACATTAGTGTCTTCCCAAGATCACCCAAAGCCTCAACTAATTAAGACTTCAGGTCCAAAGTATTATCTAAATCAGTTCCAGGTGTTACCGACCAAAGAGCAAAAGCACTCACTGCCCAATGTTCTAGAAACCAATACTGTGACACCAGGTTTTTAAGAAAAGAAAAGCTTTATGTTGCAGGTAGGCCAAAAAGGAGATGGAAGAAGAGTCCAGCTGAAATCTTCCTGTGGTGGTTTTAAGTCTCCCTGGGTTGGCTTTAAGGCAGTGTTTTTATCAGAAAAATTTGGGGGGATGAATTCTGAGATAAATAATTGGTAAAAGGAAGAGGGAGGTCTGGAAAGTCCTCAGGCATGCACCATTATTTCTTCTTGCCTCTTCATGGGTCACATTCAGGGAGATTTAGTATGAAACATGGAAATTTGGGTTGTGACACCAGCAACCTCTTTCTGTG